TATATTATCTTAAAACATATTTTCTGTTAGCATAATTCTTAACATATAATGACACTAAATGTCTACAGTCATTTCTTCTGAAATCCACATTACGCCAATCTCATTTTGTGGAAGTGGAACAAAGGCATAGAAAGGTCAGAACTGGAGAGCTGGGAAGAACCCATATCATGGTTTAAAGTTGCATCAGTGACAGCTGAACAAGATCATACGGTTTGGAATCAAAATGGGCAGTTATACGCTTTCCATTCTATAGGAATAGAGCGAATGTTCTTTCTCAAGTTACTTATTAAATAATTTTATTGTAAAGAGACTGTGCTCTTTCTTCCCGCTCTTAGGATCTGTTTTAATTGTTCATAGTGACCCAATGCTCCTTTAGGTCTCCCTACCAGACTGTGTTTTTTCCTTCTTTAAAAATTGAATCTTTAATGAATGACTCTTCTCAAGATATGAGCCTGATGTTTTTGCTCTGGCTTAACACCAGCCACGTGTGGTTTACTTGTGGTCTGCTGCAGTACTTTGAATAATGGAGAGGAATTCTCTCACCGTGAAACAGGTTGGCTTAGATATGATCCAAAAAGGGTTAGTTGCCAGGAGAAGCAGAGTGTAAGGTAGTCACGTCTAAAGGCACCACAGCCTGGACCCCCAAAATCAATTTTAAAGTGAGACTTTAGCACTTTTCACAAGTGGGAAAATCAGACCACTGTGTGCTCAATGGGTTTGGGAGGTTGTGCTCTCAAAGCAATTACTACAGAAAGGCATAGAAAGATAGACAAGAGGCTAGTAGTGTCTCATGGATGCTTCCAACTTGCTATAACTCCCCTTTCTCCTTTAAGGAGAAAAATAATGGGGATCCCAAATAGACTTTCTCTATTTGAGAACACAGCCTAATTGCTTTTGTGATCAGTGCCCATGACCATCACCAACAAATCAGTCATTAAGCCTCAGTCGCCTTGTATGGCAAACATAGAAAAAGTCTTTTTATATCTCCTCAGCTCTCCTTGAATGTCTGTGGGAAAGAAATGAAGGAAGTGAATTTTTCTACTGTCAGATTGAAGGTAGCTTTTGATGATCTGGGAACTTCTCCAAACCACCCCCTGCCCTCCTGGCAGAGAAAATAAACAAGATTTTCCCTTTCACATCATAATTAAGGCAAGAGACAAAAGTGAGGGCATCACTCATCCTGACCTTCTTTAGCCTCTAGCTGTTCTACCTACTCAGGACCCTATTTTCTCAGGGTTCCAATTTGGTTTGATACACTGCTCAGTATTAATTTCCTCTTAGGAAGGTACTTCACCATTTGGAAAGCCCCTTGGATTGAATAATTATTGAATTTCCAAATGGCCTTGGGCTAGCCTCAATTGCAATAGTGTTTCATGTTCTGTCGCGTGAAAGAGATTTGCCTTGGGTATTTAACAGCCCTGATGATGCCTTTTCAGAGGAACAAATCTCTCTGAAAAGATTTTTGGAAACGTTTCCATTAAATTTTTTCCAAGCATTGTTGCCTAATGCTCAACAGTCTCTGTAGAGATGAATAACTAACTTCCTTCCTTCATTCATTTTTTTCCTTCCTTTTCCCCCTTTTATCCTTTCC